TCTTTCATCTCAACTTTCTTCCAAAAATCGAATTACAGAGGTGATAATCCTTATTGGGTGGTATACGAGATGGGAGAACCATGCACAACTGACGCCGACTGCAAATGCGCTGATTGCGTTTGTAGCAAAGATGAGGCGCTTTGCATTCCACCGGAATACGTTCCCCTTCCACCAACTACCACTTCAACCACTACACCGAAGCCAACTACAACAACAACCGTCCCACCACTCAATGGTAAATTATTGGGCTGTTAGTTTCACAAACGACTCATCATTAGAGCCTTGATTACACGAGATCACTTTTCAGCGGGATCGTGTCCTGGACTTAATAATGGAATGACTGATGAAGTTAGGAAGACATTCGTTGACAAACACAACGAGTATCGGTAAGTTTCAAGAGCGAATAGGTTGTGAGGATAGTTTGATAATTAAAGATTGTCTAGATCACTCATTGCTAAAGGGCAAGCTAAGGGTAAAGCTGGACAATTTGCTTCAAAAGCAGCTAGAATGTTGAAAGTGGTAAGCTTCAATGTTACTTGCTTCTGTATACCGTAGCGCACTTCAAGCCGTACAACTGAACTTTTGTTTTAGACTCCATACACTTGTGATACAGTGGGCAGAAGACGTGACGTTTTCGTTTGAAGTGGTTTGTTATAGAACTACGATTGCGAAGTTGAAGAAAATGCGATGGAATGGGCTAAGAGCTGCACATTCGGACTTAACACTGCTGCAATGTTGAAGCGATGGGGGAACAACATGCAAATGCTATCACCCAAGACTAATAACAAGACAGAGGCTGCAATAGCGGTTGGAATATACTAGCCAACTAAATTTTCTGAAAACGCCTGAAAATTTCATTTCAGAGCGTCGACGCCTGACTCGGTCAATTACAGAAAAATGGTGTACCTAAAAAGAACGTTTTTACCACGAACAACTACATGACTTTAAGTAAATACAGCCAGGTGGGAACAACAATTCTAACCGCGAAAAAAAAAATGTCATTGGGGTAAATACAGCCAGGTGTACTCCAGTTGACATGGCAATCGAGCAACAGGATTGGTTGTGTAGTTGTACCTTGTTGGAACTCTTGGACTGTCGTAGTGTGTGAATACAATCCGGGGTAAGAACACTCAAATATTACGTACTAGAGACCANTTGAAATTGGCTTCTTATTTCTCATGGTAAGCTGTAAGTGCTCACCGAGATNTGTACTCCAGTTGACATGGCAATCGAGCAACAGGATTGGTTGTGTAGTTGTACCTTGTTGGAACTCTTGGACTGTCGTAGTGTGTGAATACAATCCGGGGTAAGAACACTCAAATATTACGTACTAGAGACCACGGTGCAACTTGGCTTAAAAATCCTTTTTTACAGAGGAGATCTGCCTGGAGAAGTGATCTATGACGAAGGAGATCCCTGTACAAAGGACGCCGACTGCCAGTGCTCCGACTGCATTTGTAGTAGAGATGAGGCTTTTTGTATTGCTCCATAGAAAGGAATGCAATAAATATTCAATGACTGAGCGAAAGCACACTCGCTACAAGCTAGCGGAACAATTGCACTGAGCCATGAACTTTTCAACTCAGCTCTGCTCACCTCAGTGTACACTCCCGCTAATTATATGCGAACAAATGACATCGGCAGAGACATTGGGGCGATAGATGCATGTGTGGGTAATCGTATTGGAAATCGCGACAAGACCTTTCATTTGTGAGTCTGGCATCTCGCCGAACTGTTGGTTCCCTTATTTTTCTCCATGCGGTGTTCCGATCGCGTGAATCGCCCTTCCGTCGTGAGCCTGGGGGTTTGACCATGAATAGGAAGAAAATGGATGCCAACAGAGTTTTCACTCAGAGATGGTGAGTCTCCCATTGCATCGCATTCTGATTGTCGAAATACGCATTGCAATGGAGTAATTGTGTCGTTGAGGAAGAATAAGGAGGTTTAGCTCAAGAGGTTATGCCACGTACTGAATACGATGGTACCACAGCAAAGAGAACGCTCGCCTTGGTTCATGTCATTAACGGAATACCTGCGGAACGCTGACTGTAGCTCCTGGCCTACCTTCGACCGCTAGCTTCTCAAATCAGGTCAAAGCCACCCTGCAAACACAAGACTAAGCTTTTAAGACTACGCCAAGCTTTTGCACAATCTCAAGTATAATCTTATAGATCTCAGAGGGTTGAATTCTACGGTATAGTCGTTATGGGAAAAATAATCTTGAATCGTCATATCAAAATTATACATATATCGGTATTACTACAAAGGACTTTCGAGGTGTAGCTTGTACGGAAGTCGACACTGCCTGGATATTAAACTAGTCTGGTGATGAATCGAGAAGGCTGTTTGGCAAGAAAGAAGAATGAGGTACCTCAAAAGTGCTTGTGAAAAAATCCGGATATCCGCCTGGATGCTAGAGTTACCGTCTGGATCCGATAAATAGGAAACTCAATGACTGTCCAAACAAGCTTGAGCTGCTCATCACCTGCTCGGACTAGATTTCTGCAATTTGATCATTCTATAAGAGTAGTCTCGAAGACACAATCCATAGTAAGGCAAATTAAAAGAAATCTGAGAAGAATAGGGAGCGAAAACTCTAATAAGCAAAAGGAGATTTCCTAAAAATGCGTCACTCATCCGACCTCCCCCCGAAATCACAGAGTTTGTTGAAATTGGCTTCTTATTTCTCATGGTAAGCTGTAAGTGCTCACCGAGATAATAAGCGGCTACTGCCCATCATTCAGGAGGGAATGAGATGAATTAAAAAACTTCAACATACAATATGAGCAGTACTTATTCAAAATTCATTTTGTATCGACTAGGCCGCTTCAAGTTTTCGATTATAGTCGTGGAAGTGTAGCTAAGTGTAGTGTACAAGTACTGTACTGTAGTGTACTGTAGTGTACAAGTTTCCTGTTCCACGCCTGGGTAGTTGAGGGTGGTAATGGTTTAGGTTCTTAAGTCCCAGGCAGACTAGCAAAAAAGAATTTTTCGTAGTGATCTTCGAAAATTAATAGCATAAAGAACGAAAATGTCCCTATATTTGCTTGTCATAAATTTGGCTTGAAAATTGCGGAGTTAGAAGGGTAACCATTTTTTTGGAACCCATTATTTCAGTTTATCAGCTCTTTTATTTGAGTAGGTACCTTGGTACCAATGAATTCCTCATGTGTTACGATAAGCGATGACTGGGAGCTTCAAGTCAAAATTGAAACATTTGTAGTCCCCACAAAAAAGCCGAGTACTATCGTCGTTACCAAGGTCTTCGGCCATCGAATACATCTTACTGACGTGAGGACATAGCCGGTACATGTTGTTGTGGTCCTAATCCAGATGCTCATACTGAATCGAACTGATCGACAAAAATTACCCTATCAATCCCTAACCATTTCCTCCTATAACAAAGATCCTCCACAAGTAGAAGTGTGCATCAGACACTTATATCCCACGGGGATTTTTAAGTAACATTTCCCATGAACTAATAAAATTTATGTTTAAAATACCAAAGCCAATTACTAGTAAGGTAGGCCGTCTAACATTCAGCAGTGGACATTCCAATACGCGATTTTTTTGCTAAAGAGGTGATTTGGAACAATGATCCCATACAAAACAAAGAAATTAGGTGTAATTCACAAAAAATAATACCACATAAATAAGTAATACATGAACAGATTTTAGTTAATCGTCTAGGTACAAAAATTGAAGTAAAAACAGGAGTGACGGTGTCTTGGAACAAAATGTGAAGTAAAAACAGGAGCGGCTGTGAAGTTAGAAACAGAGAACAGAAAGGCGTGCTCAAAGTGATCGCCCAAAGTTTCCATGGAGCTCTACCCACACTGCCAGACCGATTACGAATGGTCAACGAAGCAAATCTCACATCTACACTTTGGATTCTTGTTGTTCCCTGCGATTGAAATATTTGTTTGAGTACTGATAGTAGATGTTACATTTATTGTTTTCTACATATATCAAAAAAAAACGAGACAAACAAAAATTGCGAACCATTGGAGCCGGAACTGGGAACGAAAACCACTCAAAAGAGATCACAAATGCCACCTCGAATCATCAAGATCATTCGGAATGACTAAACGAAAAAGCGTCCACCGATTTTATCCAATTTTCTTTTGATAAAATCAAGACGAATCGACCCTCTGACAACTCATACTTCCCAATGTGACCATTTTGAAACACATAGTTACCCCTATCTTCCTATCCTATAAAAGAGGCCGAGAACAACTGTGAGAGTGGAGAACCCTGAATTCATGGTGGAAGGACACTCCACGACCACAATTTCACCTTGCTTTGGCTATTTTACTGAATGCACCCCATCAGAAAGCCACAAGCGTGGTGACATGGCCCTGAAATTTGAAGCATGACATACAGGACCATCCGATTGATTCGCCAACTCTTCATTCTCTCGGACGAGTCTAATAGTAAGCAACTGTCCACACAGGGGTAAATGGTCTAGTCGGCCCAGGTGGGTATCGGTACCGGATTTGATCCGCGAGATCAAAACATTACGAGCAAACACCTAAGTATGTGTTATACGCTTTAACGAAGTTTAGTTCGCCGACAGCGCTATCCCATGCCAACTCCGATAAAAACGTTTCGGAGATCATTTAAGGTGCTATTAGACATTGGGTAAAGACTTTATAGAAATGTAGATGTACATAACTTTATATACCTCATAATCTTGTCCTACTAATGTTTCATAGATTTACGTCAACAGCAGTTTACAAAGGCACAATACAACGTTGAGAAAGGCCCAAAGGTCTACCCATCGATGAAAACTCTATGATCAGTCCGTCAAACACAACAAGAAACTCAACAAGCATGTGTGTTTTCTGCAGCGGTCAAGCCGCAGTAGCCGATGGTGGCCCAAGAGAATTGAGAAAATGGGGTATCATGTACACACATACGAGGCTTTGAGACTTAAAAGACCAAACCGATGGGATGACTGAACGTAAACTACGCCAATCGCTTTGCGATAACTGTTTGTTGCATAATGGAAACAAATAAACTACTTCTACTTAAAACTTCATGTCATTAACAAAAAAAGGTTTAAAAACTCGAGGCTATTACGACGAGACATCACTTAGGGGCCCAGCAAGTGACATAGCACCGCTCCTTCAACCCAACAATTATGAGGATTGGCTGATGTTCGTCAAGTGAATAAGGGATGTGTATGTTCACGGAATAACCTTTGATACAACACAAAGATAAAGCCGACTGCGGAATAACAAATTTATCTTGAGAATGAGGAAGGAATGGGTTTCAAATCAGGATATCTTGTTCAGATGGCAGCGAGCTTTACCAAGAAACCTTAAAATACGAATCATTGAGAAACTGAAGATCTTATAAAAAATATATATAGTTAAAACACTTACGGGAAGTAAAATTCTGTTGATAGTTTACTGCACGTTACGACTCCATACCGGTAGGAAATGGTGAGCAATAATGCTTTCACCTAGTGAAAAACTTCTGCCGTTGAAAAGATGCCACTGTCCAACAGGAGCATCATCGTCACCTATAGTAGCTGAAAAGATTCGAATCGCATATTCCCAAACTATTGCGGAAAAAACATGGGAAAGCCAAAAGCTACGACTTTGAAAGCCAACTGGAAGCCGGCTGCACAAATTTGCGCACACTACTGACCATAACAATCCCTTACTATACCTAAGCGCACGCGTCTGTCTATTAGCACGGATATCACTTGATAAAGTACCTGCACAAGTTTTAAGCCTACAGATGAGCGGTCGTGAACACACAATGCATGCATAAGCATATAGAGCCCAACTGGTTGCAAAAAAATTCAACCCGTGACACGCCCACAGTCAATCCTGACTAGAATCACAAGGATGAAACGATCTTAATTGACAGCACAACCGGCTGTCGACTATTCTTCGGTACACCAAAATCAGAACACGGATCGCACAACTACCAAGTGTGCCCCTCCATTCCTTCCCTCGTGTGAGCATGTATAAAGTTCTATTATATCACGACAAATAATGTCAATCTAAATTACAAACGTAAAAAGAGTGCACGAAGCAAAAACTGAACCATGGGAAAACCACGAGCAAAACAGACTCGATACCAGTGAGAAACCGTTTAACGAGCATCAATGTTTACATAAGTATAATAATATTAGGTCGTGAAGAAAGTTCTTGCGGTTTTNGAGTGCACGAAGCAAAAACTGAACCATGGGAAAACCACGAGCAAAACAGACTCGATACCAGTGAGAAACCGTTTAACGAGCATTAATGTTTACATAAGTATAATAATAATTCGATTAGAATGTCGACAATTTCTATCACTTACATGATTTCCTTAAACGTTCCGTCGAAAAACAGCAGTCAGAGCTCGAGCAAATATCGGGAAACGGTTCACCTTCAGCGCTGCTTAATGGTAATGATGGTGTTGTCTTCACCATGCAGTCATTGAGAGCACTTGTGATGTCCTAAATTTTCGAAATCAAAAAATAAATTTGCGATAAGGGATCATGCAGAATTCGCTGGAGAGACAGTGGTGGGGGGACTAGCCGAGTACTGAATCAATCACAAGCATATTCAGACAACCTTAGTGCTGCTAGGCCATTTAGAGCACCACTTTATTCACGAAATCGATTACAAAGTTTACAAAATGGAGCTTGCATTAATGACGCAAACTGCAAATTTATGCACATGATGGAAGAGCTAAGAAACCGGTCCAATATCAACGAAACTGAAAGGGGGACCAACGAAAATGGATGCAAAATATACGAAATTGACTTGTTCAAATGGCAGCGAGCCTGACACCACTTAGCGCCTCAGTTCACGTTTACGAACTGGGGTAGAGAATCCTGTAGTTCCTCGTCCTCATCCCTTCTTCATAACGAAATCGTCAGTGGCTCACCCAATTGTCACCCCGATTAGGTAATAAACAGTTGTATGGAAATATAAAAGTGAATAGAAGTGGAAATAACAATAGCAGAAGGCAACAAAGAGGACAGTTAGACAAACAAATAAACACACAAACGAAATCTGTAAACTGGAGATCACTTGCCTGAGTTGATACAACTTCTGAGTCTGAACTCGTCGTCGACCCGCTTTCCAGCTCAACACCGCTGTCGCTACCAGTCTATAAGTGAAAACCAAAGGATTTGTAAAAATTAAATGTCATCATATCATAGAGATTGACAGAAAACAAAAACGACAATACATCGGTTTGTATAGATAGAGACGAATCGAACGGTTGTGATGATGACTGATCTCTGAGAGAAGTTCCTCGAACCTTCATGGCCGAGGCGTAGGACATTGTTTGCCGCGGTGGGAGGGGAGAAGAAACAAGCTCCTGAAAAACCAATTAATTCAACATATTGTTTAATATTGAAAATAAAACCAAGCCATACAGCAGCATTCGAGCCCTCCTGCGTGAGATCTGTCCTTGAGCTTGTGGTCGTGGTGTCATCATGATCAGCAAAATGGGTAGAATTGACTGTAAGAATATGAATACTTTGAGAACAATCGGAAGATATTCTCAGTGAGTTCCTTCATTCATCATAAGAAAAGCATTAGTGTAGTCGCTTGAAGTGGGAGACTTCAACAGGTACACACCTGAACGTGGAACCTAAAGATGTAAGAATAAAACGGTAAGCCACCCCGTCCAATTTTCTTATGGTAAGCAACTAGCCTCAAAGACGATTCCATTCACTGAGCAAACATACTATACAGAATTCATTTATTGGAAAATGCCTGATGAGCACGCTATCATTGTCCTGTATTAGCTTCATGCAATATTCATACCCACCACCACTTGCAGTTTTAACGGAATGCGATTAAGATGTTTTCGCCACAATAAATGTCATAGAAGCACTCCACCTATAAGGCACCCTCCCCCCCCTTAAATTTTGCGGAATTGGCACCACGGTGGCCTTAGTTAGTTAAGTCGTGCATACGTTTGCGTCAAAAGTGGTAAACTAGTTCTCTACGGCGAAATAAAGTACCCCGCAAACAAATCCTGGCCTATATGAGTTCGAGTTAACACCAAGTAGGGTTGCTTTCAAAAACGCAGGTCGATTTTAGAGGCAGCAGATTGAATACAATTTTGCAGAACTCCATTGGATGGCAAATGCAGAACTCAGGTTTCTTTGAACACTGGCCAAAGCTCACCTGACTGAGTTTCGTTTCCCGATGAAAACGTTGGTAGCAATCCCCAGACGTCTGACGCATAAGTGAAGGATTCCCTCCGTGACTGTAAATTAACTTTATATTTGAATGGAAAAAATTTAGTTATGCTTCTTCATATAACGAACCCTACACGGTTCCCTGTTTGCTTTCTACATTTGTTAGATGAACGGAGAAATCCAGCCATCCCTTTTCATTTCTAGAGTAGGTCTATACCCTTTCAACAATCTCAACTTCATGGAAAGTGGCGTAATCAAGTCACTCAAGCTACATTTGACTTTGTTCTCAGTAATAAGGTGTCCTCATAAGACATCCTATCGTCATTTGTAATAAATTCTGCTGTACATGCGGTCTTCAACATATGCTACTCAGCTCGATAACTTTGCTCAACTAACCTCGAACGCCTGATAACTGGTAGGAGTGGAAGACAATGACGACGTGGAAACGTCTCGATATTTCGCGCTATGGCATCGGCTGTAAAGCAACTCAGTAACTGCTCAACATAGAAGTAGAGCACCACCATGTAAAACTTACGATAATGTACGTGATTCTCGTTCTTCAACTAGTGGTTTGGGTGCAGCTTTCACAACTCCAAAGTTTAGGGTTGGCAGAGCATTCTTTGACTTACGCTTTTTCTTAAGTGGAGGAGCGGGTAATCCAGCAGCTAACGCAGCTTCACGCTGAGCTTCAGCCTTTTCGCGTTTCTATAGAACAGTCTTTATCAACCATAGCCGTATGGAAAGTATCCATTAAAGCTTTCGATATTAAGTACCTGACGTTACCAGAAAAAGAATATCGTAGAATATTACATACTAATCGATCATCAGCGGCAAGTTTGTCCAATTTTGTAATTCCAAGTCCACAACGGCATCGACATGCCTACAGTTAATGAATAGAATAACGACAACAAGGGGATACTGAGTAAGAAGTGAAACAAAAAGTCGTATAGTCGCCCAATCGTGCTCCGGCATTACAATTCGGACATTAGAACTTACTTTAGCGATAAGGGATTGACCTTTTTGAACCCAAAGGTTGTTACGTCTCATCGTTGGAGTCCATCCTTTCGCTGATCCTTAAATACAGCAACTAATAAGAACAATTCAGAAACGTTAGACCAGTAGCGCTCTAAAAACTGTGCAATTAGCTCAGCATCATGAGCAAGCTAGAACCCATGTTCATGAATCACATCAAGCCTTAAATCGGAAAGATTTGGAGACTTTCCTGAGTCAACTTGAGGGGAACAGTTAAAAGGGACATTTACTAGGCCAGGAGGTAGGCAGGATGAACCATTCACACTGGGCGTGGCTGGACTGTCAGAATTGCCTCAACTGCCCTCTCACTAACATTATACAACAATTTGGAACGTCCTGCCAGGGACCAAACCCAGACGGGGACTCCTTTTCAATGTTAGTTCCGGAGCATATAAACCACTCAGCCAAAACGCAAGTGTCAAATATTGTTATTGGAACATTTGATCACCACCCATTATAGAAGAGTAAGGTCAACATCTCACTAACCTACGGCCAACCGGCTACCTTGCAACATTCAAATGGTTTCACAGTTCACAATTTTGACAAGTTTTAGGGTAGGAAATTATGTGGTTTTTACGGGTATCAGATATCTTTTCCAACGCAAATTCATCTTAAAAGTGGCTCATTAAATAATTCACCTTTCAAAAAGGATCATTCCGTTTCTGATCAAATGGCATTCCGTTTTGATCAAATGGTGAACAATAGTTGAAAGCCCTCAATTCTGAGGTTGTCCACCCAAGCATTAGAACTGAAGGAAAAGAAGATGTTCAGAGAACATACCTAGACCACCTATAACTTTGAGCAGATGTTCTTCGAACGCCTCGAAACATCTTTGATGAAGTAAAACATCAGTGAAAGGGCAATTATCGTTCGAGCATTCCATTCTCACTCCATCATCCCCGATCGGTAGTGGTGTTCCTTTAACAACGTTATCATAGCAACCGCAATCTGTTAGTACCAGTCAAATATATGCATCGTAAAGGGATCTATGAAGGATCAGACCGAACGTACCTATAAAGCAACGAATTGGATCCGGAACCGGACACCCACATATTTTTGTTGCAGAGGGAGTTGGTTGTGTCAATGCCTGCGTCCTGTTGCTCTTATCCTTTCCGCGAGCTCGATCATGTTTGCGGGCTGAACCCATGGTCAAATCTATAAAACTTTTAAGCATTACTCTTTGTCGGTAAACTACTTGTACTCGTATATGACGCTCCGAGAGACTCGTACTGAAGCAGAACGATTACAAATTGACGACAAAAATAGTGTTGAACGAAGGAAACCAATCAGAAACCAACATTTCGCTAACAATGAACGAATGAAATGAATCACCTGAAGCCCCAAGAAACCGCGACGAACAAATCGAATTATTATCAACGGCAGCTTTGAAATGAAAATATCAAACTTGATTAAAGCAATAACAACATCAACAAGTCATTGGAACGCGTTCGGCAACTGTAAAAAGCACTTGAAAATACAACACAAATAACGCCAAATATTTATGACATCCAGTCGAGTACGCCTTCAATCTGCAGGTAAGAATTACTTACAGCTTAAAAACAAACTTTTCTAACTTCAAAGTCCATTCGACAGAAACGACTTATAGGAATAGCTGAATAGAGGCACGAAATCAGTGACCGTTCAAGAACATTTGGAAAACCGCATCCGAAGCTAGCTTTTTCTGCAAATCAACGATTCCATCACAATGGGAGAAGGAGCATATTGAATGATGTCAACAATTAAATTAGCTCCACGATTCGATCATCTTTTTCAAACCTCCTAATGACGTGGACCTGTGCCAACGCACTGCTTTAAATCTCCAATAGCCTTGTCGATCAAGATACGATTCCCGAACGTGATGAAAAGTTCTTTACCTGAGGTTATTACCTGGGACAACAAGTCAACGCACAATCCAACCAACCCCATCAATCTCAGGCTAGATTCTGGAGATACACGAGGGATATAGGACTTACGATCAAGCACCCCGCTGCTACCTTCAATGAATACCTTGTCACGCTGGCGATCGGCGTGTCGCATTGACCATGCTTATTATAAATCGATATCGAAATTTTGACCATGACAACAGAGGCGTGACTACCGGACATCGGACGTGGTCGTGGGCCAACGCAAAGTCTAAATGAGCCAGTGACTGCTTTCATAGTCCACAAGTTGGCCGCGACTCCGCGAGCGAGCGACGGGGGACTACTCCTCCGGCGGAATCGACCATGATTCAGTTGTAAACAAGGGGGAAGCGCCGCCCCCATCGCTCGCTCGCGCGGACTATGAAAGCAGCCAGCAGCAATTGCATGCGCCAGACCATAACTGCCTTAAAAAGATATTGCATTCGTATCCAATTAGTTACCGAAATGGTTTGCGATTCATCGAGATGAAATCGGTGGCTTCAGTGACACCGGTCATTGTGCAGCACACACGGGTCGGGACGTAGTGGTAGCATATCGCAAACTTTGAAGATAGCTGTACTTTAGCGCAAACGAGAATCGTTTTTGAACTAATCTGTGCTTTTTCGTCATGGATACAGCTCACCTATGATCATGAGCCAGGGATTCTTCAACTTTCGAGAGGAACGTGCACAAACTGTAGACACACATCATTTTCACGGTATTCCCCATGAACAAAGTGAATGGTGAACAACATTGTTTCTCATTGAAGGGAACTCTTGATGGATCGATGGTTCGCCAACCAAATATTTGGAAAGGGATACAAAGGAAAGTTAGCAACGTCTAAAATATATAGAAAAAGGCGTTATATCCGATATCCCTCAATCATTAACCAGGAAGGCAAAGCAGATTGAGAGTAGACCGGGAAGAATTCAACGCGTGTGTTCCTCCCGAATGTGATGGGAAAGACGGAGGGGAACACGGCGGTACAACGTGGATTGACTATGAATATCCACTAATACGCGCCAACCCACGTCAAAGGCTCGGAAACTCTTTAAAAGTTCGCTTTTGTTCCAATATGGGTTAAAACGGCTATCTGAGTCATTTTGAGCTGGGGCCTAGGTCGCGCCTTCCGTGACTGCCATATTCCTCGGCTTCGCTCACTACATAACCCAAAGGTGATCCTACAAAGTCCCATAGGAGCAAAATTGAACATAATTAAAGAGTATTCAACACAATATGGCACGTAGCCAAACTCTTGTAGATTCCTGTTTGAAGGTGTTTATAACAACTGCCAACACAACGATTGAACTATCGATGACTTCATTCAGAATTCGCCTACGAGTAATGGATTGCAAAGCCGATTTCCTCCCATACCCAATCGTGGTCTCCAAGATGTTCTGAGCCCTGAGACACAAGAACGAGTATGGTCGAATTTGCTAGACCTTGGGAAACCTTTGAAAGCTATTGTGATACAAAAATGCCAAAATCTGCTTCATATATCCTACCCAATCGAGTCAACTAACAAATCACCACTACAGAGAGAACATCGGAAAGTACTGTCTGAGGATTGCCTTGGGAAGTAAATTAATGTGAGAATATTTGCGTTCAAACAGTATAAGTAGGAAGCGACGCTTCAACAGCTGTTCCGTCCTGGGTAAAGTACGGGAGGAGTATGATTATGGTTCACTAGAAGAACTCGTGAGCATGAACGCTGAACCTTACAAGCGGTCTATTCATAGCCCCACTTTTATAAGGCAAAACTCGAACATTAATACAAGCATCGAAAAGAACCGTGATTTATAGGAATTTCTATTGAACAGTTCTTCATATGAACAATAGTAGACCAATAAATCCCTTTATTTGGGGCTTGACTGGAGCCTCTCATTGCACCATCTGTCGTATTATGTAAGAAACAGTCTGGTACAATCAGCTGGGGGCAAACCAAAGAGTTTAGGAGTCAGCGGCTGTATTTCTCATTTACCTTTTCACCACATAGGATTGACTCCGCTTCGCTACTTCCTTTCGAGGTCTCTGGATTATCATTATTTGGATGATTTTTTTTTCATCCAGCCCAATTCTTTCAGCTAAGATCAAGGCTTGGTCCCACCAGCCCTACCCTCCTGACACACTCACACCTACTCCCTCCCTTTTCCAGTGTCTATATGACTAATGCTCCAGGAGGGTTTCGCAGGAGATGAAGTTGGAGTTCAGGAAATGGATGGGGACATGGTTCAGCAAAAGCTGTAGGCTTGTGTCTGAGGCGTGCAACCACCTTCTGATGCAAGTGTTGCCCTTATAGCGGGATTTCGCAATAGTCTGAGGGGCTTGCTACGTGTATTGTCTTATTCGTCATCCCGCCGACACCGTAAAACCCTCGTCGACTGATCACCGGCAATCGTGCCAGGACGAGTGGTGCTACAGAGCGGAATGTACCAGAGAGCATCCTCCGCCACCCGCGTGCGGCTGCGTAGCAGTTTCAGTTATTTGCCTTCTGTTCCTCTGGATTGGAGCGCGATATTGTTTGCGCACCGTTTTCAAAACTGCACCACGTGACTCCTAGCTGCCAGAAAATCTGGCACGTGTCTTTGCCCAGAGTCCCTTTTTCATGCGTCGTATATGTGGCGGGTGAAAATCTGGGCATTCAAATGAGACTATGCCGTGAAGTAAAATGTATTTTATACAGAAATTCTGCAGAATTCGGAGGATGCTCTTTGATACATTCCGCTCTGTACCGTCACTCTGCCAGGACCACCTGATCTTAAATTCCTTTGGCATCTTTCATAGTCCACGATCGGT